AAAAAAAAAAAAAAGTTTTAGAAAACTTAAAAAGAGTAAATGGTTTCATTGGGCTGTAACAGTCATGCATCACTTAACCACTAGGCAACAGTAGTAGGACGTTTTGTCCTGTACAAACACCCCAGGGTTTCTCAACCTGTGGGTCACTACCCCTTTGTAACAATGAAGTACATCCTGCAAATCAGATACTTAGATAACAATTCATAACAGTAGCAAAATTAGTTATGAAGTGGCAATGAAAATAATTTTATGGTTGGGGGTCACCACAACATGAACTGTATTAAAGTTCACGGCATTAGGAAGGTTGCGAACCACTGAGTCTTAGACAAACCTAGTGGTATATGTAGCTGCTACACACCTGGGCTGTGTGGTATGGCCTATTGCGCCTAGTTGAAGCCTAAGCAACATGTAGGCCATTGGAACACAATGGGAAGTATTTGTGTAAACAGAAAAGGTACAGTAAAAATAGTATTACCTTACAGGGACATGCAGCTCATTGTTGACTGAAATGTGAATGCTGAGTATCCCTACTTGAATGTTCTTTGAAGTTGCTTGTGTGACGTGGTTTAATGGACCAGTGTCCCAAAGCAAATACATTATCAGCTCTCTTTCATATTGAAATTAACGGAAATGGACAAAATAAGCTACAGTTAGATCTAGGATAGTTCATATTAGCGTATTTTCCAGATCTTGTTTCATTCATTGTATGTATATGTACATTTTGCCCTCTAGACAGTCCTCAAAGGCACGGCAAGTGCTGATTTAGCAAATGTGAAAACCTGGCCAGAGAAAGGACCTTGCCAAGGTTATCTCTGGAGAGAGGGACCTTGAAACAATTTGGGCTTGACATGTTATTCTGTCTGGACTGATTAGTAGGCAAGAATGCTTTAAAAACAGAGTCCTGGGGGAATCAACAGGACTCTGGAGGGAGTACTGAGCACTTTTTAGGCAATAGTGAGGCTGTTAAGAAAAAGCAAATGCAAGAACAGCTTGAGGTGAACTGGCAACCAGAGTTTTGACGACTGTCGGCAGGACTGGAGGCTAGGTGCTCATTTTATTCTGGAGGCCAGAAATGAGCAGATATGCCTTTAATTCCCAAGTGTAGGCAGAATAGGTGAATTGTTAAGATACGTAAACTTAAAAGTGTTGCACTGAAACATTTCCTATCCCTTATACGATTTTTTTGGTGCCAGAATTTGTCTAGTACGGGTCTATTTGCAGCAGTTAAAAGAGACATCTAAAAACTAGTGGGCGGGCGGTGCCTGTGGCTCAAAGGAGTAGGGTGCCAGCCCTATATGCCAGAGGTGGTGGGTTCAAACCCAGCCCCAGCCAAAAAAATAAAAACTAGTGAGAAGGGGTAGGAGAACCCAAAGAATTTTATCACTATGACACATTAGTCAGGGTTTAGTTGTGCTACACTCCTAGGAGTGGTGATTAATGTTTACAAATCACACAGATTTTCTCAAGTATGAGATCATAATACTAACAAACGAGGTCTGACATCCTAGAAAAAGAGCTGTTCGTCCTCATTGCTGAATATCACTATGATCACATCCGAAGTCCTCCCCTTGGGAAGCTATGCACTGATGCCAGCTACCCTTCAAAATGATTCTGGAACTCTTCTGGAATCACCATCAGAGCTATGTCTGACAGTTAAGTTCATGGCCTGGCCACCATGTGCTTACATTGCAGCATGTACAAACAACGTCTATAACCGTGGTGTGCTGGTGTCACAGCTGTGTTCATGCTGACAGGTGGTGTCTTGCTAACTGGCATTCGTTATTGTTTTGTGTTTTTGTGTGCCATACACCAGGAAGAGTGTCAAAATGACTTTGAAGGGTAGACTAGGCACTGGAGTCAGTGCCTACCTTCCCAAAGGGAGTACTTTAAAGGTGACCGTAGTGATATTCAGCAATGAAGTATGTGGTTCTTTTCCTAGGGTGAGTTCACAAACTTAATTGTCAGGCCTCTTATTTAAGGAAATGATTAGTTTTTCTCAGAAGTATAATAGGTAGGCCAGGTACAGTGATTCACACCATAATCCCAGCACTCTGGGAGGCCAAAGGGGATGGATTGCCTGACCTCAGGAGTTTGAGACCAGCCTGAGCAAGAATAAGACCCCATCTCTACTAAAAACAGAAAACAAGTCAGACATTATGGTACATGCCTGTAGTCCCAGTTACTCAGGAGGCTGAAGCAAGAGGATTGCTTGAGCCCAAGAGTTTGAGGTTGCTGTGAGTTATGATGCCAGGGTACTCTACTGAGGGTGACCAAATGAGACTCTCAAAAAAGGAAGAAATATAACAGGTGTCAAAATGTAAGTACTTGAGTGTCCCACCTGCCCTGTGTGCTAGCCCAGAAGTTGCACTTTTTTTTCCTATATATCTTCCTATCTTAGGATAAAATGAACCGTCAACTGGATGTGCTCTTCAAATGTCAACGGAATATAATTACTCTTTTAAAAAAAAGACATTCTGGGGCATATTTTCTGGGATCAGTGCTTAAAAGAAAAGTAATTTCTGTAAACAGCTAGAATCGAGGGCAACAGAGTGAGACTCTGCCTCTAAATAAATAAATAATAAACAGAATCAATATCTCTGAACAGTGAGCATGAATGATAAGAATGGTTGTCTGGCCATACCAATATCAGACATCCTAAGAGTGTAAGGAAGATGAATTCATGACTGATCAGACAGTCTTTAACGGGTTAACAAGAAAAAACAGTTATCAAGAACCCTGCATTCTCTTTGCTTCTCAAAGGTCGAACTTGACCTGTCTAAAATGTGGGTTAATCGGGATTTAAGGCATAGATCTTGGTACTTAGTATCTGGGTTCATGATGATCATAGAGGCCCCAGGGGGAAATTGTGCTCAGCTGTAGCAGTGTTTGGGAGGGGTGTGTAAAAGTGTTTTGTGAGAGCTGGAATGGGAGTTGAAGAGGTGGGCAGGTGCAGAGAGAGAGAAATGTGTGAGGAGGGAGCAGCTCACACTGGGAAAAACTCGGGAAATTCAGACAAGCTAAAACACCATAATTCACTTACACAATTATTTAAATAGGTATTTAAAGATAACATTTTTCTAAAGTCTATGATTTTATGATTATACAAAAGTGGGGTGGTTATCCATCCTATTTTGTAATCTTTCTCATACTGTGAATTTTCTCCCATATCGGTGAATATACTTATATAGCTTCTATAAGCACTGCACAGTATTTTATTTCATGAACATATAATTTGTCAAACATTTAGGCTTTTCCTACTAAACCAGGCTTTGTGAAACTAAAATAAGTAATCGCTATTAATCCATACAGATAGATCTAAAGACATATCTGCTTATCATAATCCCCAGTTGTTCCATGAGTTTGCAATAAAAATGCTTAATTGAAAGACAGTGGAAAGTTTCTAAACATTAGGTTTCAATAGATGGTGGAAAGTAGTACAGCAATGCACAAAAAAGTTTTATTTGAAGGTCATGAAAATTAGGCTTACGTTTTTTAAAACCCTGAAAAATACAAAGGAAGAAACCCTTCAATCCCAGAAGCAAAAGTAATTATTTTAGTCATGTTGGTGCATTTTCTTCACTTATGTTTGTAGTTTTCTTTAGTTATAAAACGTTTTTAATACTCGCTTCAGGGCTGGGCGCAATGGCTCACGCCTGTAATCCTAGCACTCTGGGAGGTTGAGGTGGGTGGAATGCCTGAACTCATAGGTTCGAAACCAGCCTGAGCAAAAAGCGAGACCCTGCCTCTAAAAATAGTCGGGTGTTGTGATGGGTGCTTGTAGTCCCAGTTACTCGGGAAGGAGAGGCAAGAGAATCACTTGAGTCCAAGAGTTTGAGGTTGCTGTGAGCTGTGACACCAAAGCACAGTACCCAGGGAAAAAAGTGAGACTCTGTCTCAAATAAATAAATAAAAATATTTGCTTCATAGTCCATTGTGTGGCAGTGTCATAATT